TACTTTTTAAGACTGAAGAATATCCCATGGTATCGGGGGGACCCCATTTTGTTTATCCATTACTCCATCACTGGGTATTTAGATTGGTCCCACCTCTTGGTTATTGTGAGTAATGCTGCTGTAAACATGGATGTATAAATATCTGGGACCCTGCTTTGAGCTTCTTTGGATATACATCAGATTAGATCTTCTATTGTGGATGCAGCCTTCACCTTCTCATTTTCAAATAATGTATCTCAGTGCTGCACATCTGCTACAGATGTGGTTTGTTCCCCACAGGCTCCTGCACTGGAAACCTGGTTCCCAGTGTGGTGCATCGAGGTGATGGAAACCTTAAGAGGCGGGGTCCAGGGGAAGTAATTAGGCCATGGGTGTTCTGCCCACATGATGGACTAGTGCCGCCTCTGTGGGTGGGTCAGTCTTGTGTGACTGCAGTAGTTCTCATGAATGCATTTGATCCTTCTGCATGAAGCCAGTTCCCTTCCTGCTCCTCCATCATGGCTTTTGTTTTGTTTTGAAAGGGAGCTTTCAGAGCCTTGCACATGCTTGGTAAGTGCTCTGCCACTGAGCTACACCCCAAGCTCTTATTTTAATTTCATTTTTTTGAGACAGGGTCTCATTAAATTGCCCAGTCTGACTTTGAAATTTACAATCCTCCTGTCTCAGCCTACCAAGTAGCTGATATTACAGGTGTGCACCATCATGCCCAATTCTCCATGTTTTGATGCAAATGGGACCCTTGCTAAGACCCCAATGCCATGCCGTTTGGACCGTCCAGCCACCAGAATTGTCGGGCAAATAAACCTATTTTCTTTATAAAGTACCCAGTATTAGGCATTTTATTACAGGAACATGAGTTGGAGACTGTCTGTATTTAATTAATTAAAAGATTGTTCATCTTCTCCTTTCCCAGCCAGCTTTTGAATTTTTACTTCTTTGTTTACATGAAGTGGAAGGTAAATTCATGTTCTGTTCTGCTTAATTATTAATGGATCTGTGATACATTTGGCTGAATAGCAGCTGTGGAAATTTATTTCCTCTCCCACCTTATTTCCTCAAAAAAGTTCTTCAATGACCCAGTTAATTTTATAATAGCTTCCCATTTTCTGATCCAAATTATTTTTCCTTCCTGATAGATGCATATCTTAAAATAATATGAAGTAACAAGTCATTAGAATTTAATAATAGCTTATTTCATAATGATGAAATTTCTAAGGCGATAATTAACTGGCATAAGAATCTAACAAATTAACTATTACATAATACTCTTTAATTTCCACCCACCCACATTTTTTGTGCATTACTAATGGAATTGGATATTAGTTAATGTACAGTGATTGGTGCTAAGTGAAAGGAATTGCAGGTTTAAGTTTGGAATGTAACAATTCTAGTCTGTATCAGTAAACAAGTAGCTGAACATATGAACTGCAATATGAAATACTAAATATAGCCAAGGTGCAAACATTAATATATA